CCAGGGTCACATCCATACCAGTATTTCACTGGAATGCAGCTCCTAGTGCCTGCTATATAAACACAACTAAATAGATGTCCAGTGACTCCTTCTGGTTAAATGCTAAAGTTACTTCCCAGTTCTCTTTCTCTCTATAGCATCCCTTGCCTTTTAAGACACTCTATTATTATCATTTGTTGAGATCATTTCTTTTTTTATCAGTTGTTTTTTTTTTCCTTCCTGATGACCCTTTTAGGCAAACTGCATGGAAGAAATCTTTGTCCTTCTAAGAAATGTTTTCATTGGCAAAGTATCTCATTTCATAGATTCTCCAATCAGTTCTATTTTATGTCCCTTTCAATTTATCTTGTCAACACTTATCTTACCCAAGCTCCAGTAATAAGAACTTTAGAATTCCTATAAGGCAATATAGAAAATAAGGTGTTATAATATTCCATAGGTGAATGACTCCAACCTAGCTAAAATAGCTTTAGCCTAGCCTTTACCTTAAATAGACAGAAAACATCAAGTTATTCAAAATGGTATTATAAAACTCCATTCTTCTGGTCAGGGATTTTTTTAACCTCAGTTATTAAATCAATTTCTCTTCACTCTTCAAAGCACTTAAAATTACAATAAACCTTTACTTACTTGTCTGGACACTGGCCTTTTCTGGAACAAGCTCTTGTGATGTCTCATCTAATTCAAGAAGATGTCTACCTTCTAAGGTTGGAATGTTGACATCTTTCAAGCCAAAGTGTCTATTTCGTTCATATTCCTTATGTCTATGTTCTTTTTGAGACAGAGATTTCCTATGAGCAATTTTAGTTCTAATCATGTCAGTACTTAAATCCTTTCTGCGTCGACTGGCAAAATGTGATGAAGACATCCTGTCAGGGAAAAGACAGAGACAGACCAACTCACATGGTTTTTCATTTTATTACGTAAAAAATTAAGATTCCAGTTCACCTCCTGTCCCAACCTCAGAGCCTTCTGAAATAAAAATGTTCAAATACAAAATGGAATGTGACACTGAAGAGTGGGAAGGAGGTCATCAAAAGATAAGATGGTACGACCTATTCTGAGGTTCTAAATAGGACCTTGTTTGTCAGATAAAGTGAAGCTCAGGAAGCTACAGTCCATAATAATACAGGATAGTTTCTTAACCATCCCCTAGAGATGAATGCAGGCAACCTGTTATATTTTTCTCAAGCCAAAAACCAAACCAAAACAAACAAAAAAACATATGAGATGCCTAGTAGACAAGTAAGGATGATAAATAGGCACTCAATATATGAGATTAAGAAAAAGAAGGGTTTTCAGAAGAATTCCCAGGGTGCCATAGAAGGATAATCAAATCAGTCTGCCCTGGGGTGGGGGGGGCAGAATAAAATTATTTTCGGCCATGTGAGACATTATATAGTTTAGTTGACATATGCCCGTTTCATAGAAAGATCCCTGGAGAATGTATTCAAGCAATACAAGGGAGAAGAACAAGAAAGAGGATGCCATGGGTTCCAAGAAACCATGGATCGAACTGACAAAAAGAATATAGGAAAGTGGAAAGTCTAAGGGAGTTATCTGCGCGTCTGGTATAGCAAGCAACCAAGACAAACTGGAGAAAAAGGACTGGCTTTCCAGAGAAAATTATTGCCAGCTTAAAGGAAAAAGGGGGTGGGGAAAAGAGGGAGGGTATGCAATCAGGAAATTTAAAAAGTTATAAGCACACTATTTTCTTCAACAATAATAACTAAGGAAGTCCATTAGAAAACTCCAAATAAAAGAAAAACCCGCACAAGAAACGCAACAAATTCAAATATTACATTATTTTTAAGCAATTAACAAGAGTATAAAAAATGAGAATTCTTCTAACCTGGATGCTAATAACATTCTCCTTTAGGAGCCAGGGGGAGGGGGGTAGTAACAAAGGGCAGTGATTTTCATCAAGAACTCTCCCTATATGATGTGCCACCTCCCACAAGCATTAATTTGCTAAATATTAATGAAACTTATACATTAGTTATTTTGAAATACAACGTAGCACTATACACACAGAGAGAGAGAACTAGTACTAATGGCATGTTTAATTATCTCCTAAACTCTAATGGGTAGTTAGATATTCTCGCCATTATACAAATGAGGTAAATTAACTGCCCGCGTGAGCACAGCTAAAAGGTGCTGCAGCTGGGATCCCAAGCCGGGCAGTCCGGCTCTTCCCAAAATGTAAATCCTCTCTTCTCTGGCTGCCTGGAGCTCCTTCCAGCTCAGAGTCTGCAATGCCTATTCTGGCTGGCCTACACGTTCTCGAGCCGGGTGTTTACAGTCGCCCCAGGATGGAGAGGAGCTGCTGAAATTTGCTGTCAGAGCCAAGGATGCTAAGTATCCACCCGCCCCACAGGCCGATTACGCCCGGGTGGGGAAACGCTGACAGCGACCTAGATCGAGGCGGCAAATATTTAATCCGGACGACTGTGTTTCCAGCTTCGGGAAGGACAGGGAACGTGGTCCCTGCGGACCCTCCCCCGAACGCGGCGCGTCCAGCTCGCAGCTGCAGGTCCTCAGATCCTTCTAGAAGGAAGCAGGCCAGCGCTCTCCCTCCAGCACCCCAGCACCCACCTACCTGAGGCAGGTCTAGCGTGAAACCTCAAGCAAAGAGCAAAGAACTCTCTCGGTCTGGAAACCAACGCTGCCCCTAAAGCAGGAACGTCCACATCACGGGCCCCGCTAAATTCAAACTTCCCACACCCAGCCTCTGATTGGAGGGATTTTAACCAACACTTCCGGGAAGCATGCCCGCCTCTTCCCTTCGAAGAAGCTTGCGATTGGTCTGCTCCTTGCGATATTTGAATTGATTGACAGGCGAACGGACTGTTCAGATGGGTGTGAGCGGGACCGATGGGCGGGTTGTGGGGAGGGGAGCGGGAACCAGGGCTGCTGCGGCCGGGTCTGAGTCCGCCCCGACCTCCCAGGGGCCCGCGGGTAGCCCAGAAAAGACGCAGGAGCTCTGACGGAGAGGGCACTCAGAAAGTTTGCAGGGATTTTTAATGTCCTTATTTGGTTGCATAAGTCCAGCAGAGCTTATTGGACTGTTTCTTCTTTTTTCTTTATCTTTATTGTTGAAAGTATTATATAGGTCTCCCCCCCCCCCCCACAATTAACCTCTTCCAGTCCCGCCTGTGCTCCCCCCCTCTCTCCCAGTCCCTCACCACCCCATTGTCTGTGTGTGTCCACGGGTTATGCAGATACTGTCTGTATATAAGTTCATTGGTTGATATCTTCCCACCCCCTCCCCTGCCTTCCCTCTGAGGTTCAACAGTCTGTTTCAAAAAAGGGCTTCCCATACCAAATTTCTCCTTACATGGGTAAGTGTTACTTTTTAACGCCGCCAGTCTTTTCTTACCCCCATATTTTTTTATTGAGGTAAAATTTAAATAGCGGAAAAAACATAGTTTTTTAATATACGATTTGATCAGTTTTGCTAAATGTAAACAGCTGTGTGACTGCCACCCAATCAGGATATAGAGCAATTCCATCACCCAACAGTTGCCTTACACCCCTTTCCAATATGCCTTAAGCAACCATTCCTCTGATTCCTATCGTCTCAAAAATAAAGGTGGTAGGTACTCATTAGTGTCTGTCTTTTTTCTCACAGCATATTGTTTTTAAGACTCATCCCTACTGTTGCATGAAGCACCAGTTATTTGATGAAAAGTATTCTATTGAATACTTTATCCGTTCACCTGATGGTGGACATTTGGATTGTTCCAGCTTTTAGCTGTTATGAATCAAGTTGCTGTAAATATTCTTGTGGCCATGTTTTATTTATCTTGGGGAAATACAGATGTGGAATTTCTGGGTCATTCTGTATATGCTTAACTTTATATAAGAAATTGCTGAGCCGTTTTCCAAAGTGGTTGTAACAGTAAACCCCTCTAGTAGGTGTGAAATGGTATCTGGGGTTTTTTTTGTTTTAAATATTTTTTATTGATTTTGTTTAGAGGAAGAGGGAGGGGGGAGAGGGGAGGGAGAAGAAGGGGGCCTGGCAGCGATTACCCCAAAAAGATATGATTTTAAATTGCCACTTTATATGGGGCAAGTTTTCTGCACTTCTCTGAATATCCTTTTCCTTATCTATCTCTTAGGAATGTTGTGAGGATTAAATGAAATGATCAGTTCCAGTTCTGCTGCCCACCAAGATGCTGAAAAGTATCAACTTCAGAGGAGCTTCAGAGGGAGAAAACTCCAAGTTATTGTAACATTCAAGAATGTGAGCAGTCTTTTGTTGGTTTTGCCCTGCAGTTGTTAACTGATTAACCTCTCTTGTCTCTTCTTTTCATTCTTTGGCCTATCCTATATAATAAAGAGCTAATATGCTAATTAGACCAGATGGCTGAACAACCTTCTGGAATGACCTTCCGGAATGACCAGAGGGTGGGGCCGAGGGGCTGTGAGGCAGCCAGGGCTAAGCCCCTTGTATGAATTTTGTGCATCGGGACCCTAGTTGTATTTTAATTTAGGATATCTCAGGATTTTTTCCTGTCATTTTTTTACTGTGACTATTAGGAAATTTTAAGTTACATGTATAATTCACATTATACTTCTATTAGAAAATGCTGTCATAGTTTATAAGAAATGTTGCTGTTTGAAATATCAGGGAAAAGGGACCATCTCACCCCTACTCAAAAGATCTGAGCACACAGAAGCACCCTCAGTTGCCAACCCGGAACTTCAGATAAGAGGTATAAGGGCCCTAACCAGTCTGGTTCAGTGGATAGAGCGTCGGCCTGTGGACTGAAGGGTCCCAGGTTCGATTCCGGTCAAGGGCATGTACCTTGTTTGCGGACACATCCCCAGTGGGGAGTGTGCAGGAGGCAGCTGATCGATATTTCTCTCTCATCAATGTTTCTAACTCTCTATCCCTCTCCCTTTCTCTCTGTAAAAAATCAATTAAATATATTTTTTTAAAAAAGAGGTATAAGGGTCAAAAAATAACTTTCCTCCCACTTTTCAAAGTTCTTTTGGCAGTGCTAATAATTAAATCAACATGAGACAGATTAACAGGAGAAAATGTCAAAAACTTATAATGGATACACAGTCTGGAATGCCATTAGGATATGAGACCCAAAGCCTGACCATTTTGCTCAGTGGTTGAGCGTTGGCCCATGAACCAGGAGGTCACAGTTTGATTCCTGGCACATAACCTGGTTGTGGGCTTCATCCCCAGTAGGGGCGTGTAGGAGGCAGCCAATCAATGATTCTCTCTCAGAATTGATATTTCTCTCTCTCCTTCTCCCTTCCTCTCTTTGAAACCAATAAAAAACATATATATGAATATGAGACTTGAGGATGCATTTGGTCATTGAAGTTTAAAACCATTCTGGATTAAGAAGGGGTCTGGAATTTCAAAGGGAAAGTAGGCAATTCACAGATATAAAGAGCAAATGTAATATACAAATTCTTGATGGATTACCAAAAAGGAACAAGTGGAATCATTGATCGATTCAAGAAGAGTTTATAATGTAAAGAGTGGAGAGCAGTTTTAGAGCCCAACCCACCTAGCTCTAGACCTGGAGCTGCTCAATTTCTGATTTTAAATCGCCAACCATTTTAAATTGCCATTGACAGGGATAATATCAATACCTACTTCTTAAGGTTGTTGTGAGAATTAGAGAACTTAGCAGAGAAGCTGGGATATAGTGAGCACTTTAAAGATGGTGATTACCATTAGATGTTTACAAAAGGGGGAAAGTTAGGATGAAACCCAAATCCTGCGGGCATTCATCTGTTCTCTGGACTGGCCCTATTTCCAGCAAAGCAGGGAGTGGGTGGCAAATTAATTATGTAATCAATCCATTTGCCTTTAACATTTAAAGCTGAAAGGAGGGTGAAAGGGCTCTAAATTCTCCATTGCAATTAGATGAAGGAAGAATCGCATATCTTTCCCCCCATATTTTAAAGATGCTCTTACTTTATATGCCTAATAAACGTTTAATGCCCCGGGGACAGAATCCATCTAAACCAGGACATGGATTTGCAGGCTACCAAGATGAGTATTTGAAGTAGGAAGGAAAGAATGTGGGTTTGGGCCACACAGACTTGAGTTTAAATCCCCAAATTGCCACTTTGTAAACCAGAGGTTAAAAGGGAGTGGGTGGCAAATTAATTATGTAATCAATCCATTTGCCTTTAACATTTAAAGCTGAAAGGAGGGTGAAAGGGCTCTAAATTCTCCATTGCAATTAAAGGATGAAGGAATCGCATATCTTTCCCCCCATATTTTAAAGATGCTCTTACTTTATATGCCTAATAAACGTTTAATGCCCCGGGGACAGAATCCATCTAAACCAGGACATGGATTTGCAGGCTACCAAGATGAGTATTTGAAGTAGGAAGGAAGGAATGTGGGTTTGGGCCACACAGACTTGAGTTTAAATCCCCAAATTGCCACTTTGTAAACCAGAGGTTAAAGACCA